TTGAGATCGGGGCTTCCTGACAGTTAGGATTGGCTGCATTTAGGGAGTCTGCAATTGGCAGAAGGCAGAGGGCTTTGCAAACAACAAAAACAACAGATGATGGTTCCTTCAAAGCCCGACACTTTTCATGCACCACCAATCAGCCGACCATCAGCACTAGCAAAGCACCAAGTCTTTGCTTGCAGCAGTTTGATGTCTAACAAAATGGGCCAAGGAACATGGGTCACTTGACATCCTTGTGCCATCAGGTGACTGAGAGGTGGAGAGCCACAACACTTGTCAAAGTTTGCCCAGGAGTGGGTGGGAGAAAATAAGGTTTGGACCTGCCAGTCAGATTCAGTTCCTTACCCTTGCTCTAAGGCAGAGGTTTTCAACCTTTTTAAGTCTACTGCTTCCTTAACCAACTACATACTTTCTGCGGCACTCTTGTGGGGCTCAGGAGCCCAGTTACGTCACCCCTTGCCTGCAGAGCTGGCAGCCTCTCACCCTTTTTCAAACACCCTCCCTTGTGGAGTGTTCCATCAGCTTCCTCTCCTCTTCCCTCTCCTTGGGAGTCCTCTGGGTAGCCGCTGCCGCCACCTCTGGTCTCTGAGCTGCCCCTGCCCCAAAGAGAGGTGCCTTCCAAAGGCACCATTCGCCTGTGGAGCTTATAGCCAGGGCTGCATCAATAAACAGCTGTGCAAGCCTTTGGGAGGCGGAGACATGAGGGCATCAGAGGAGGGAGGGAAGGAAAGAGCGACAGAGGCCAGTGTTGCCCATGGCACTGTTGACCATCATTCAAGGCACCCCAAGGTGCCATGGCACACTGGTTGAAAACCACTTCTCTAGGGAAACAGGAAGGAAGACTGGCAGAATCAGATCTGATTTAGCCATGAGATTTAATTAGAGATTTAATTGAGTTCAATGGAACTTACTTCCAGGGAAGTGTGCACAATATATGATTTGCACTCTAACTGGATTCAAAATTATAACTAGTGAAAAAGGTGTCCCCGTTAATTGGGCAGCAGATTTCTTTTTCTTTTTTTGAAAAAAAATGCATATTTTTCATATAAGAGCTTATAAAAATCACAGTTAGGAAGCACCATTCTACAAGGTAGATTCCCTCCTGTAACCCATGCAGGCTATGATACCTTGTAAGATGATGACTGCTGTGGCATAATTGTGTTAATCATCTAAAAAACCAGAAAACATGCTTGCTTGCTTTGGAAATAACTGTGCTTACTCACACACAAATTTCAATCAACAAATATCCATGTGATTACTTGAACCAAGTTGTAGGCTTCATTTTTTTAAATTTCAGAGTTAACCCTGGGCAATCAATTTCAGAACCTTGATTTGTGTAGATAAACCTTGCCCATTGTTGCTGATTTCTGCAGTTTCTTTAGAAGAATAAGTACATTCATTTGCTTTCGATATACCTGGCTGACACTCTGCTTCTAGGAACCATCAGCTCCCCCTTTTCTATCCACATGATCTGTCCATCCTCCCAAATTTCCCTTTACATTTGTGTCTAGTGTGTTTCATGAGTCCACCACCAGCACCAGCACCAAGTGACACCACCAAGTCTGCTATCAAAGTTAAATCTTTTCTATTTTATTCCAAGAAAGGGCAAGGAAAGATTTTTTTTGTTTTTATAATTATCATTTTTTTAAACTTGTACTTTTAAAATGCTTTTGTTTTTCTATGAAAAACAAAAAAACAAAAAAGGGACTAAGGGAACTTGCGACACATTCATTTTTTGAAACATTTGAAAATTTTTCAAGGCACCTAAAACGAGGAGGCCAAAGGAGTGCACTTTGGTTTCTCTGAAGACGAAAAAGGGGGAAACGGGGAGAGGAGAAACACCCTTATTATTTTGGCGGAGAGTCTAGGGTGGGGATTCGCCCACAAGCAGCTCAGCAGAAGCAAAGGAACGGGTGTAGCAGGTAGTTGGACCAAAAGAAGTGGCTGATGAGCAGAAAGATGCTTGTCTTGTCTGACATTGTCTTTCAACCAACATAGACCAGCTTGATCCTAGCCAGTTTTTACAAAGGTCTTCCTTAACAGTTGGGGGAAATTGCAGTGCAATGAGTTTTTTTTCTCCCCACACCCCCAGTGCTCATTGTAGGATCATGGCCAGTGGTGTATCTCCTCTCCTACCTTGGCCTTTCACCCCCGGCACTGATCGATGATTTTAATCCTACCACATAATCCATTACTGGCAGACATTTTTGCCATTCTATTTAAAAAACAAAACAAAAAGCCACACACATACATGTGGGCAACAGGAACAGTGGAAGCAGGTCATTTTCTTTCCAGTTTGTTGGAGGCCGCTGTGTGTTTTTGCTTGTTGTTAAAGAGAGCTCAGTTGCCTTCTGGCAAGATGGTGGGAGGGAAGTGTTGGCCTGGAACCCAGCCATTGTTAAGACAAAATTAAGAAGAAAGCAGGTTGGGGACACACCATCTCAGAGATTCAGATTTCACAGTTTGCCTTGTCTTCTGCTTGTGCGCACGTGCAAGCTTTCAGAACTGGCTGGTGATGCTTGGCTGCTGTCAGATGCCAGCATTGTTTGTAGATCCAGATTGTGGGATTTTTTTCAGCTTAGACCAGGCAGCCAAAGAAGAGGGAGGAGGAGGCATGGAACTGTCCCTCTTTCCTCTGTTGCACCAAGTTTTCTCTGGCTCCAGATAACAACCAGCCTGGCCTTCTGATAAGAGAGCAATCCCATAGTCTACACACCTTCTTCTATATCAGACCAACTGTGACCTGTTGCGAGGAAGCCAGGATCATTGCACGGAAACACTTGCTTTCCACTTCCATCCTGCCTTAGCCACCAGGATCCCAGCACTGGGCTTCTATCTCTCCTCTAAAATCAACACAGGTGTTGAGTTCCTTCAAGCCAATCCAGCTTCCAGATCCCTGTTGGTTGGGTTCCTTCCTGTCCACTGAGGTCCTGACCTCTTCCTCATTGCCTCCTCCCCTCAGGGAAATGATTTTAGCACCCATCGGACATGTATAGAATATGTCCGAGGATGTCATAGATGTTGCAGATTGGAATGATCAGGGCTGGGCTGTGTGTGCACCTTGGGAAATGTTGAACCAGGCCTACTTCCTTTCCCAGGGAAGCTAGAGAACACACCCAGTGCCTGAATATTCACTCTGCTATAATTTTCCCAACTTGACAAAATGGCAAGAGCAGGCAAATGTTTAACACTGTTGGCTCTCAGTGTACCCCAGTACCATCTGCCTCTTGAGGGTGATCCCAAAACATTTGTGGGTAGCATATAATGAACTTGTACATTAATTCTGAATGTAAAGCAAATAACAAGCCAGGGAAACAAAAGTGCGAGGCCTCTTTGACCCAGGAAAAGCAAAATCCCACAATGCATTGCACCAACTCCCCACCTTCTGCCATGTTGCCATTTGAAACTATTCCAGTATTATGATCAGTTTCCCACTTTTACCTTTAAAGAAACGGTAACATTTTTGTCTCTAGGCGATACTGGGATAGATGGAGCAGTGATCTCACTTGATGTATCAAATAGGTTGCACATGAATTCCTTTTGTTTTCAGCCTACACACCAAAGTAGAATGGTGGCTGGTACCCATCAGAACTGATAGGGCATAAGGTGGGGAGCCCAACAGTAGGGGGAGCCAGAGCCAATGACAGGCAGAACCCACTAAGTCTAGTTTTGTCCCCATTCTTTTCCCTGCTGAGTTCTGCAAGGGCAATACTGTGGCTGAGGAGGAGGAATATGCAGGCGAGGGCTGCCCCCTGGGCTGGTTGTAAGTAAATATGCAGACATGTAGATAGGAGTGCAGACTGAGGTTAGTGGGGCACTGCCACTTTTGTCCTAATGGAAAAGCTTCCACTGGTGCTACCTCTTGTTAGCAGTATGTTTGACATGCCAACTTTGTGACAGATGCATGCAATTGCAAGGATTATCTTAGGGGTGGCAGGTTGGTACCTGTCTCATGTTTGCCAATATTAACTGGATTAATCTTGAGACATGTCTGCCTGTTCAAAGCACTCAGGATTGGAGGATGGTCACTTCAAATATACAGACTCCTGCAAAGTGGAAATCTTGTGTTACAAAGGATTATAAAAAGTCACAAGATGGACTAGAAGTGGCAATTCTTTATACCAGGTCAAAGTTTAGGGAGCCCCTTTGTTCTGCTTCTTAGGTTAGGTGGGATTCTTAAGATTGTTGTGATTGCATGCCTGTAGGATATCATATGGTGGATCTCATGCAAAATCTGTTACTTGGCAACACTTCCTACATACCCTTTTACAAAGGGAGGGAGGTGAGTGTTTAGTCCTTCGTGCATCCCTGTCATATCAGGAATCCTTCCTCTTTCTGTTTAAAAAGACTTTGGAGGGAAAATATGGATGTAGAGAAAAGGAGGAAAAAGGTGGGTCCTGTGATGCATATTGAGACTAGATATAGGCCTGAAATACTGAAGGTTAGACTAGAAGTGGCCAGTAAATGAACAGCAAAATTGCTTTTGGAGGAAAGGAAAAATGGAAGCCAAAATTCAGATTCAGTGATTTCCAAAACATGTCTGGATTAGGAATGTGGAAGAAAACATGATTCGGTTCATATTTAAAAGTAAACCATGTTGAATTCACACTTTTTGAAAAACAGTGCAAACCAAACACAGCCATCCTTTGAAATTCACACTTCTCTGAATTTGATGATGCAGTTCCCCAGCCAAGTACAAAAATGCACATACAGGGGTAAAATGTACATAAAAATTCATATATTAGTAAAAATAACATGCAAAATGCATTATATTAAGGAACATTTCTTTGCAAAAATGTGCAAGTCAAAACTGCACACAAAAATAGGAAAAATTAGGAAAAATTCACAATATAACGCTGATGAATTCTCACGAGGACTTAAAAAAATAAATCCAGAAATTTTGATGGAAATGTGGACTGAATTTAAAATTGGAAAAGTAAGAAACTTGGAGAACTGCAAGTGACAGATTTGTCTATTTCTATCTGGGATAGGAGAGCAGTAGAATAAAGAGGGAAGTGGAATTAAGAGCAAGGGTTTTCAGGACAAAACCTCTCTCTCTGTTTCGGTGTGTGTGTGTGTGTGTGTGTGTGCGCGCACACACACACCTCAATTGCAGAATAGTTAAGTGTTCTTCCACTGAGGAAGTGGAGAGCCCAAGGCAGCTGTCAAGTTAGATGGGATGGACAGAACAAATAGCTGAGTCTGCTTGATGGGTAATGCTGCCTTGCAGGGACGATGGATTGGAAGTTGTGCCATGGGCTCCCTTGACCACACTGGCTTTCTCAGCCTCTTTTGTGTGCTGCTGTCAGCTTTAACTATTTTCCCTCTGCAGACAGAATGCCTTGGTTTTACTTAAGGGGCAGCAAAACCTCTTATTTCCAAAGACAGTTTTATCCAATTGTAGTCTGACTCACAGCAGACCCCCTTAAGTCACGAAACATGGCTAACGTAGGTTCATTAATCTCATTGGGCCTACTCTAAGTAAAACGTAGTTGGATACAGCCCAGAGTTTCCACCTTTTCTTCCCCATGCTCTATGGAAGGTCTGTGATTTGTTTCTGATATTGCTTTGCTTTTCTGAGCAATTTATGTACATGCAGGGTTCTTAGGTTTTCTCTCAGTGACAAAGCAGATATCCAAATGAATGCTTATTATTTTGATGGGGGCATGCATGCTAATTTGTTGCAGATGGGAACATGCATCAGAATGCATCCCACACTGGTGGCAAAAAAACAGTGCTGGTGGATCAATGTGCTTGCATTCACTTTCAGATTATTTTTTCAGTCTCCATTTCCCAGATATCTGCCCTGCCCAACAATAAGCAAATGGGCTAGAATCTAATATACAGTAGATATTAGTGGATCAGCCAGTAGTGCTTTCTATTATTTTCTCGTTTCCAATCTTAACTTCAGTTCTCCTAATTTCCACATCAAATTCGTGGTTCTTTTTTTTTTAAATAGCCCTAATGAAAATTCATCAACATTTCTCTTAATATCATCATTTGGGTGTGCAATTTTCCCTAATATTCAGAGTTTTACAAAGCGGTTCCCCCTAACATAATGCATTTTAACATGTTGTTTTCACTAATATATACTGTACATCTTTAGGCACACAGGGGGCCTTTTTGTACACACTACTTGGCTGGAGAACTGCATTGCAAATTTTTTGGAGAAGTGCACATTCTGAAGGATGCCTATTTTTCAGTTCACATATTGTTTCAGAAAAGTGCTAATTAGGTAGGTTTGCCTTTAGATGCAAACTGAATCAAGTTCAAGTTCCAGCCGCAACATCCCTGAGGAACCCTCTTTGAAAATCTGAGACCTCCCATCCTCATGTCCTTAAGACCTATCTGTTGCCACATTCCGGGGAGTGGGTAGGTTGGGTTGGGAAGCCAAACTTGAGTGCTGCTTTCTTTTCCTGTTTCCCACCCCTGCCCTCTCTTGCTAACTCTCTTTTTTCTTTCTTTTTTAAAAAGCTCGCTCTCCTAAATGAAAACTTTGCAAGCTGAGCTGCAAATTGCTTGTTACTGTAAACTCTGCGTGCGTGCCAGCAATGGCGCACACCAAACAACCCTCGAATCACCTGAATTAATGAGCAGTAGGGAGAGGCAGGTTTTTAAGGTGGTTTTTTTTTTTTTTGCATTGTGCTAAATGCATCCTCCCCAAGAGCCTGCTCACATTAGCTCTGTTTGTTAAGTACTGTATATAGAGTTAAACACTTAATAAAATTACACTTCACGGGAGGCGAGACTGACGCGTCGGGTCCAAGGCCCGGATTGTGTAAAGTGATGTTTAGCATATAAACATTAGCTGGCCTGGAGCACTCTTTTGTAATTTTTGTTGTTTGCGTTTTCCTTGTTGATGGTGTTTAATAGGAAAGAAACAAGCTACCCACCCACCCACTGCTTCTTTCCAAAATGACTTCCGTGGACGGCTTGTTCCCCCCCACTGGTTATTTCAGTGTGCTGCTAATGAGCTGCATAAATTTGCATACTGAGAACCAAGGGTTGGGATATATAGCTAGAGAGAGGTGTGCATGCATTTTATGCAGAGTATCTGTGATTACAGAATTGGAGCTGTGAGCACCTGTCTCTTTGGACTACAGAGTGTGAAACCATGGCCCTCCAGATGCTGCTGGATTCCCACCATCCCTGACCACTAGGTCATTCTGGGTGGGGCTTATAGGATTTGGAGTCTTAACAGCATTTTTTTTTCCTTACAGGGGGAAGGGCACAGATTCCCCACTCTTGGGGCACTTGGTCTGTTCCAGAAATGTGACTTCTCCCACCTAGCCTTTATTACTGTCCGCCTGTGCTCTCCATTAGATCCTGCCTGAGTTGCCTGACATTTTGCTGTTTTCCAATAGATTAATGGTGTCGTCCTTGTTTCTTGTTGCATTCCTTTTCTCTCTCTCCCTTATTTTATTTTACTTCATTTCCCCTTCTTCAATCTAGGACAGTTCCTCTTTGCGTCTGTGCTGATCTTGGCACAACTGCCTTGTGCAAAGCTCTGCAGAGGAATAGTGAGGTTACCTGAGGGCCAGGGTACCACTCTGTTGCTTGGAAATACATGACAAGGTGTCCCCTTGTTAACTAGGCTTACTCGTGGGCAGGCATACTAGTGGCAGACTTGGGGCTGCCAAATTTCAGCAGTGCCCTGTGTGATGCTAAAATTCAGCCTCTCCCACTCCATTCTACAGCATTGTTTCTGCAGCGCAGTGCCCTGCGTGACCACACCAGTCGCACTACACTAAAACCACCTTTGGGCACACCAGCTTTCCATTTCAACCAGAAAGCTAAGAAGACAGTGTTCCGTTGCAGTTGGTTTATTTGCTTTAAAGAGACTGATGGAAGGCACGCTCTAATTTTACACCCAACAAGAACCGTGGGAGGTTTTTTTAGTACATGCCTAGCTTGGCATGGTGAAATCCCTTGCCTGTGTTTCCACGACACCTCATCTAGTTCTTTCTCCCAGTTAAGGTATCCACCCTATTTAAAATATTTTCAAGGCAACTTACACAGTTTAAGATGAAACAATACACTATCTGGGGTCGCTAGACTGCAACCTAGGTTGCTTCCAGATGTGGTCTTAATTTGCAAACGGATCATTTGCAAGTTTTTAAAATACAAAAAAACACTTAATATTTTCCCTGGAAAGAGTAAATCCAGATTAAATGGGGGGTGGAGGTGGGGTAAAATGAGCTGGGATTTTGAGGCAAATTACACTGTACAGATGCTGCAAGGGGAAAAAAACCTCTGCATGTGTGAGGAGCACCAACGTCACAATAAACACGTCTGGAAATACCCCTAGAGAAGCAGTATTTGCCTTGAACTTTTACCATGTACATCATACATAGATCTGCAGTATAAAAAAAAGAAGTCCGGATTCTTCTAAATTTGAGCTCCCAACACAGATAAGCACTAGAGCTTTATGAAACTGAAAAAAAAAACCCCACAGGCTTCCTTGGACGTATTAGGAAAGTGCCTTATCTCACTTTATTTCCTAACCTGTGACATGTATATTGCTATACATAGCAATAGATGGGGACTAGAATCTTGCATTGCTGGAACATCGGGTATTAAATGTAAGCCTGCTATAGGCCATTATGATAGGAACACACCTCTATCCCTGGTTTTCTGTGCATAGCACTGGCAATTTTAGAGCAGAAAACAATTTCAATGTGATACAGGAAGTGCCAATAAGGACTGTGTTAGAAGATGCTGCAAAAGTCAGTTAAGCCAAAGGCACTGTGGGATAAATTGGTAAATCTAGAGGGGAACTGCAACCCTGAAAGGGATGCGTTGCTCATTGCGGGAGTTGATGGACACAAATGCCATTCTGCTGATAATTGGCCAGGCTTTTAATGTTTTCCCTTTTCTGAGTGTTCATTGCCCACCCTGCTTCCTCAGTCACTTTGTTTTGTCACAAGCCCCTTGAAGTGCATTTTTCCCTCCCCTGAACAGTTATTGTTGCTATTAAGGAATGCCGGGCTGTCAGAGAGCCCCGCTGGCCAGGAGAAGGAATCCCACTGAAAGATGCCTCTAATGGCGTGTTTATTGCCTTGCTCCCCAGTTAGCCAGCTAATCCCATTTATTGCCATTTGCAGAAATTAAGGGGTTGAAACACTGCACATTCTTGTACACAGCAGAAGGCGTGCAAAAAGAGAGAAGCTGCATGTCGAATGACACCTAAAGTGACTTCTAATTACTTTCCTCCATGAGTTTGTTTTGCTTGTCAAGATCAGGATCTTGGAGTGGGGGAATGCTTTAAATTCTACCCAAACCTAACTAGAGGTCAGGCCTGCACAACTTGCAACCCAGCAAGTCAAACAGTGGCAACTGGTCACTGCTGGATCTGGGGGGGCGGGGGGGGCAAGGGGCCCACCAGAGGTGGATCCAACTGGTTATGTCCCCCTCACGTTCTCTTGCCTTCCAAAGGTACTGTACTGTGGGTGCTTAAGTAACACAGTTACTTGAAACACAGTTTCCTGGCTGTATATGGTGGCCCACAAGGAACTTTTAAATTATCGTTTTTGCTGCCTACTCTGGACTATAAAAATGGGTGCGAAGGTGGTGTTGGGTTCAAGACCCTGGCAGGTCACTTTATGTAACTGCTAGGCGACATTTGGTATGAAGTTGTTCCAACCCTGGCCTAGGGCTTATGTTGGGGGCTTTTCTTTCCTGGAGTGAATTTATTGAGGAGGGAAGTATATCCCCTTTGCCTGGTGCTACAGAATTGCCCATCCAGTGATATGTGGGGAGAAGTATTTTCTCTCAGGACTTGAAGAAATACTTAAATATTAATGGCAAGATGTAAATTAAGATGTAAATATTAATGGCAAGATGTAAATTAAGATGTAAATATTAATGGCAAGATGTAAATTAAAAGGGCTCCCATAAGGGGGAAACTTCTTCAATGGGGCCCTATTTCCAAAAATCTTTGCTGAACCAGAGCTAAGGTTCATCTCACTCAACATCCTCATTCAAATGGTGGCCAGCCCAATGCTTTTGAGAAGCACATTTTGTGCTTAGCCTCTGGCGCTCATAAGATATGCTACCTTTACAAATGGAGGTTCCACACAACTATCATGCTTAATAGTTCTTGATGGACTTATCCTCCATCTGTTTTCCCCTCCCCTTCCTTGCTTCGTGACACTTTCCAGCTAAGTAATGGGTTGTATCCACCTAAGTCATTCTTTGAGTGGACCCACTCTACTGTTAGTTGGGACTTAGATGGATGTGACCCAGTTCCTCACCACACCCATCCATCCCAAAAGTCTTGTGGGCCTCTTTAATCTACATCTGCACTTTTGGGGGGACAAACATGTGCAAACCTGACCATCATGTGGAACAGCAAAGCTCTCTCCTACGAATTCAGACCAGTGGTCCATCAACCAGATTCAAAGATGCACCTCCCCAAGTTTCTCCAAACTTTCCCAGCCCTTTTCCTGAAAGTGCACCACCGGCAATACTGGGGATCAGATCCAGGAGCCTCACACAGACTCGGGATACGTGCATTACTGCTCATTTCACAGCCCCTTTCTTGTCTCTCATCCTCCCAGCAATTCACAAGATCTGAAAAACTCAGTCAGGCAGACATGCAGGTTGTCATACTGGCTCAACTATAGCAAGTGGCAAAACTTTAGGTGTTCAAACACAGGGTGGATGTGGGTTTGAATTTCCTTTAAGCCTCCTGATTTGAGCAGGAGAATCTCTTATACTAACACCTCTGCAACTTTTGAATCTGCTCTTGGGCAGGGGAAGAACCAAATTCCAACATGGGGCTGTTCAGATATCCACACTGGCCAACGTGAAGGCAGGCCACTAACCACATGTGGTGGCCATTTGCCAGGGGCTCAGTACTCCACCTGCTTTTGCCCCTTGCTTTGGATTGCCAAATAATCATAAACACCTGGCAGGGAATTGGATGTGGCCTCAAGGGCCTGCCACTGTGCCCAACACCTGCAGAAATTTATAGATTGTCAGTTGGACGCTCAAACCTTATCCCATCAGGGAGGAGGCAAAAAATAATTGCATACAGTAGGAGACCAACAGAAACCCTCAACCATCTTAGTGATGAGCTGTTGAAAAAGGCCTAGCTGGTCATTTTCTGAGTTGATGCAAAAGAAAAGGACTTGAACCAAAATCCTGCTTTTCCTTAACATCTCAAAAACCATTCACACGCTAAATGTGAACCTGAGATTCATTTAGGATTTCCAGAGCCCCCACCTTGGAAGGAACATCTTGCTAGTTGGAAGACGCTGGCCCATCTCCCATTTCCATGTCAGTTTCTTTCTTTTTTCTTTCTTTTTGCTAAAAAGACAAAGAGCTACGTGTTGCAGTTATTCCTACAAAGAGAATATTCTTGAATGATTGTCCCAAAGGATAGATGGGTGAGGAGGTAACCAAACAGAGATTTCTCTTACAATCAGTCCGTGTTGAGCAGAAGAACAAAGTTGATGGATTCTGAGTCTTGCAGAAAGGGGCTGAGGGGAAACTTGAGTCAGGTGTGGAAGGGGCAGGTTTGGGGTTAGGGTCTTGTTTCAGAACTCCAGAAAGATATATATATATTTCCAATGCTTATTTTGTTGTGGTAGTGGTTGTTGCTCAAATTTGCATGACAAATTTGGAACCTGTAAGGAAAGCAGAGTTATGGAATGCAAAAGGAGAAATGGAAGCAGATTCGCACGGGCCCCCTCCCCCCCCCATGCAGTCAACAGTTTAGCCGCCAGGAAAGACATTTTGATGTTTTTTTTATAATCTAACTCCTGAACAAAATAGAGGATTTATACAGGAAGAAAGATAAAACAGGTAGCATTTTTGTTTTTCATTTTCACTTTCCCCCTTCCCTTCTTCCAGGTCTTCCCCCTGCCCCCCTCAGGGGGAGGGGTGGGACCCAACAATAACCCAATGTTCCTTGATGGTCTGAGTTGTATGTTTATGTATTTTTTTAATCTGGTATATTAAATATAAATTATGTCTTTGCCCCACTCCATGTCTACTTTTTTTAAAACTTTTGTGTGTGTTTTTGTTGGTTTTCTACAAAATAGGCTTTGTTTTTGTTTGCTTTTTCTTTTCTTTTTTTTGTAAAACTTTCTTCCCCTCCCCTTTTGTTCCACCTGGTTCTGCTTGGAAAATAGTTTTTGTGTTTTGCCATTTTTTTTCCACCTTGGCAAAAAAACAAAACCTTGGTGTACGTGTGTGTGTGTGTGTGGATAGGGAGGGGGGGTAAAAACAGAGAAGTGGCTGGGCAGTTGAGGGGATCAGGAGGGATGTATGTGGGAGGAGGGAGGGGATTCTACATCATGTATACGAGTAGTCTATGTCTGGAATTCCACCGTCTCTGTACCCACGGGTTGTGCCGTAGCCGATGGTGTGGGTGCTTTTGTAAAGACTGGTTCCATTGGATGGGAATATGGTATGGATGACGTACTCCTCCTTTGCCCGGTGCGGGTTGATTGGAAGCATCTGCAACCCGGGGCCTCTGATTTCCAGGATGGAGTTGTCCTTCTTGGTGCCCGATTCCACATAGTCATCTTTCTTCCGACTGCCTCGCTCCCGTGTCAGCAGCTCTCCCGTCCGGTGGACATACCAGCAGATGGCGGCCAAGACTAGGAAGAGGAAGACCAAGGACACCGCCCCGCCAATTATCCCTGCCAATGGCAGCCCGGCCATTGGGTCCATGTTTTGCTCATGGTTGAGGGTGGTGGTGGGGCTGTACATGTCTGCCGTCTCGGCCTTGGCACACACTGGGGTCTCATCAGGCACATAGGTGCTGCCCGTCTCCATGGTGACCATGCAGATGATATAGGTGGACTTGGGCTCCAGGGCTGTCAGCAAGTACTCTGTCTTGTCACCTTGTACCAGGGTCTCTGTGATGGAGCCCACGGCTGGGCTGTGGCCCAGGCGCAACCAGCTCAGGCGGAAAGAGGCTGCCGGGAGCATTGCCTTCCAGCTGATGCGGATGCTGTCAGCGGTTAGCGGCTTGACGTTCAGAATCAGTGCTTTGGCTCCAGCCCCGGTGGCCATTGGGTAGTCAACATTGGAATCTGGCAGTTGGATGCCAGGCCTCTTGGCCTTGAGGGTGAAAAGGGAGCCCTGCGGGGTTGTGACAGCAGCATTGCTGGCAGTCGTCTTGGCTGCCACCACCACTCCTGAATTGCTCTGCGGGCCAACGTCAAAGCACTCATCCATCTCATTGGTGATGTCCTTGATGGCCATCCCTCTGACCTTATCGGGGCCTTGGCACATCAGCCCTCTCACATTCACCACAGCAGCCCGGGCCTTGACCCAGTCCCTCAACCACATGAGGTTACAGCCACAGTACCAGGGGTTGTTCCTCAGCAGGAGCTGAGAGAGACTGTCAAGGTCATCAAAGAGACCCTTGGGCAGAGTGGTCAGGTTGTTGTTGGACAGGTCCAGCTTCTCCAGTTCCCTCATCTTGGAAAGGGTGTTGTAGGGGATGTGGCTGATGGCATTGTCTTGGAGGTACAGCTTTTGCAGATGAGCGCTGGGCAGGTTAAGAGGTGGGGCTGCCAGAGAGTTGCGCACCAGCGAGAGCTCGCTGAGGTTCTGTAGGCGGCTGAAGGTGTCGTCTGCAATGCGCTGGTTGGCCAAGAGGTTGCCATCTAGCACCAGGCGCCGCAAGCTGATCAGCCCCTTGAAGGCATGGAGGGGGATGGTGGATATGCGGTTGTCGTCCAGCCTCAGTTCCTCCAGGGTGCGGGGCAGGCCAGAGGGGATGCTGCTGAGGTGGTTGCGAGAGAGGAAGAGCAACTTCAGGCGTGTGCTGTCCGCAAAGGCATCGTCTTCGATGCTGACAGTGGAGACGGAGTTGTCGTCCAGGTGCAGCTTCTCCAGGAGAGGGATGCGTGCCAGGGAGTCTCGGGCGATGGTTCGGACGTTGTTGTCCTGGAGGTGAAGTTCCCGCAACGAACGGGGCAGATTGATGGGGAACTCATCCAGGTCATTTTCATAGAGGTAGATGACCTGATGGGAATTGAATTAAGAGGAAATTCAACAGGGCAGAAGTAGAGAATGGAAATGGTGTGCATGTTTTTGATTTTTTTAAAAGCTGCATTTAACAGTTCCTCAAACCTGAGCAATTTGGGTTCCAGTTAGTCCATATTAAAATGCCTGTCATCAGCCTAGAAATCATGAACTTACCACAAGGAAAAGGTGTTTAAATTATTACATTTTTTAAAAAACAGGACTTGGCATTAAACAGGCAAAGGAACTTGAGCTTCAAAGCTAGTGTGTAAATTCCAACCCTGTGCTAAAAATCAAAGTATGGTGCTAAACATACCCCAGAACCCTTCTCAAAACCAAAAATCCACATGGAATCTAAAATGTGGACATATTTTGAATTCCAACATGCATTTGGGTGTATCTACTCAAAATAAAAAAGAAAAGGAAAAAGTTTAATTTCTAGCCTCAAACATTATCTCCAAAGTCTAAGGACCACTTGGGCACTGTGGGAACCTTTCATGGGGTCAGACCACTGGTGCATCTAGCCCAACATTACATAGTTTAGGAGCGGGGAACCTGTGACCTTCCTGATATTGCTGAAATACAACTGCCATCAACCCTAACCATTTTGGCTGGGGCTGATGGGAGTCCAACAACTCCCAATTCTGGTGTATTCCCATTAGCCGTGGCACTTTAAGGCCTTGGACAAATTAGAGGTATTTATTGGCCTCCGCTCCTTGATATCCTTTTAGCTGAAGATGAAAAACATTGAACCAGAGCCATTTAAAAAAAAAAACAACATTTAAAAATAATTAAAAACAATAAAATTTAAAAACAGATGCAATCAAATCACTTCGGGATAGGCCAGTCAAAACACAAACATTTTCAGCAGGCATCTATAAGTCTGCTATTAATATTTCATGGGCTGGGCCTCACCTTTCGGAACATAGGAAGCTGCCTTTTATGACGTCAGATCATTGGCCCACCAAGTGCAATATTGTCTATATTGACTGGCAGCTGCTGATGAGGGTTGGAGACAGGAGTCTCTCCTAGCCCTACTAGAGATTCCACTGTGGATTGAACATGGGACCTTCTGCATGCAAAGCAGATGCTCTACCACTGAGCTACAGCCCCCTTCCCATGCACTGTACATTTATGGCAAAACAAGCACAAACATTAATTCAGTGTGAGCTGATGAGGGGTCATAGCCCAGTGTGTGCTGGGGGGATCTCAGTTTCAATCCCTGGCATCTCCTATTCAAATGCTCAGGTAGCAGTTGATGCAAAAGACTCTTCCTTCTCAGACCCTGGAGAGCTGTTGCCAGTCAGAGCAGGCAATAGTGGGTGAGGTCTAATCTCAGATAAGGCAGCTTCTGATACTGTCGCGTTTACCTGGCAATTTTGGCATGTTGAACTGGTCTTGTGAATATTCACAAGTTCTGAAACACCACGTCCTGAAAACTTCTGCAAATTGGTAATTTGAAAGAATTGGGATGCAATGGGAAGTCACCATGATGGCAAGTCACACTAAGACAGCCTTCCCCAACCAGGTGTCCTCCACTTATTTTTGGACTCCCATCAACCCTGGCAACTGGCCATGCTGGCTGCGGCTGATGCGAGTTTGGTCCAGCCACATCCAGAGAGCAACATTTTGGGAAAGCCTGTATTAGAGTGTCCACAAGACTGTAGTTCAAGACACCAAAGTCTGAGCAAAACATTATCAGGTTAATCCTTGGGGAGGGGGAAAATGTCCATCAACGTAAGTTTCATAAACCAAAGATTTCTACAGCTACTATTTAAGAATTCTAAAGGGGAGAAAAAGTTGGGTCAAGCCACATTCAGCCTCAGCTCATTAATGAAGATCAGCCACCCTCTTTCCAAAAATAAAGTCCCCCGGTTGTACAACCTGAACATTTAGCTTTTTCTTCAAGGTGGAGGGGATGCCGGCATTGTTGATCTGATTGTTCTGCAGGTATAGGGTGGTGGCATCATCCGGGATGTCAGCTGGGATGGAGGTCAGGCCCCGGTCATTGCAATAAATGAAGCCGTTGTCGCAGCGGCAAACAGATGGGCAGGTAGTGCTGTCAATCACTTCGCTCAGGAAGGCAACCAGGCCATAGCAGAGGAACAGCCAGTCACGCAAGTCCATGGCAGCTGCTGTTGTCACCACGGTGGCTGTCACCACAGCGGCTGTGGGTGAGGTGGTCGCCATGGTTCGCAGGGGTGGGTGGTGCTAGGCTGTCCTGCAGTTAGGCTTTTGGAACCTGCAGATGGAATGTTTTTATTTTATTTATAGTCTTGATTTTTTTTTGAGGTCTCAAGGTGAAAAGATGCAGGGGGAGCCTAGCACCCCTGCCATGCAGTTAGTTTCCCTCCCTCCCTCCCTGACTACCAAGTTAGCGTTTAATTCAAAACCAGGGCTTAGCTCTGGAATATGTCTTCAAATCCAGGGTTTCAACCCTAGGGTATATAAAGTGCAAGCTCGTTTATATATGGAAAGCTAGCATGATATAGCAGATGTGGGATGTTGCAAAGTTCTAATCCCCACTCATCAAGCGATTTTGGACCAATTCACTCTGTCTTAGCTCAGCCTGCCTCCACAGGGTTCTTGTAATGCTAGAGTAGGGGCAAAGGTAGCCAATGTAGTGCCCTCCTGATGTTCTGGAGTACAATTCCCATATTTCCTGACTGGCCATGCTGTCTGTGGCTGATGAGAGTTGTAGTCCAAAATGTCTGGAGGGCACCACCTTGAGTCCCTTAAGAACCAATGTTTTATTAAGTGATGATAAGCATTTGCAGAGCGCCTTTTCCCCTCAACGCAGCATAAACCACAAACAGCACCCACATGACTTTGATTAGACTGGACTGAGTTTACTGCACAGACAATATGTGGTATTGCCTGCCCCAGACTATGCCACTTCTGACTGCAGGTGTGTCCCCCTGACCCCATCATCAAATGTTCCCTGCTTGAAAAAAGCCAGCACTGGTTGGAGATGGCAAGGCTGAAACCCTTCTCCTTGATGCACTTGATTTCTATGGGCATTGGAAGGTTTCATTTCATGCAGGAGGAGAACTCATTCATAAAATTTTCCCCAAGCCATGATCTGAAGTGATAAAAAGTCCAGGAAGACTTACTGTTTGCATGCCTAAATTGTCTCCATTAGGGCCTTGAATCTGGTGCCAACATCTAGCAGGATAAATAAGCTTGGAAGAAAGGCCCCACTAAAGGTGTAAATAACTGGCACATGCTAACAACTTGTGTGAGTCAATAGACACAATGGGGAAGTTGTGTGTTAACCTTGTTAGGAAATGCCAAAGTCTGATAGCTAAGTACCTGAAAGGCTTTGAATGCCTTTTAAAACAACAACTTTAATTGGTGTGAAACCATTGATTGGATTTTTAATTGGATTTTAATCAGAGTCATGCCTTTCCCCATGAAAGGATTTCAGTGTTGATGGTGACCTGGGCATTTGTTTTAAAGTCCCAGGATCAGAAGGTACCAGTGGAGATCATCTAGACCAGGTGCTGCAGAACTATAGCTCCCATCATCCCCTGCTGTTGGCTGTGCTTACTAGGGCTGATGGGAGTTATAATGCCGCAATATCTGGGAAAGTCAATGGTTTTCCACCCTGATCTTGACTGACTACAGAGCAGGAGGAAAAGACCATAAGAGAAGGCTGCAAGAATCTCAGCTTGGCCTGTGTGTTCATTTTGCTGGAACAACTACAGTTCTCAAATGCACAATGAGTCTTACCCAGATCCCTGCTCTGAATTTAGCCAAAGTCCTGGGTTGGCCTATAAGCTTTATTCAGGTTCCTCAGCTCTACTGGCTTGCTGTGTCTTGTTCAAGACTATCTGGCTAATGGAGAATGAGTTTCTGACTAAGGAATCCTCCTGCATTTGGAACAAGACCGGTGTGTGGAAATCTGCCATTTTGCCATAAACTTCAATATGCCTCCTTCCCTGCAAATCCCCTCCACCCCGAAAGACAGCATGTAATAGAACAGGGGTGATGGCATTGCACATGCTGCTTCTTTGCCACCTCTGACAAAAGGGTGAAACTATCTTGGTCTGTCATCTTTACAGTGCATGGTCTCTCCCCTTTTGGAGACAAAGCTTAGTTTAAGTTCTATATGGTCCTCGACACACCTTGTACATAGATTTTTTTGTATGTGTGATTGGGATAGACGTGTCAGAGTGCTGGGCATGTCATTTGCTTGGAGATGTTAGTTGCTGAGAGCCACACTAGCAGCCAAGCACATGGTTTTGCAATGCTGAAAGTTGCCTATTGGTCTTGAGGCTGAGCAATCGGTCACACACATGTTGGCTCAAACAGCAAAGGGTGGTGGTGGTATAGACTAAACGTTGTATCCAGTGTTAGTACTACACAGAGTGGACTCATTGCCATTAATGAATGCAGCCTAACAGGTCTGCTAATTTCAGTGGGTCCAGTCTTTGTTGAATACAACCCTTAATAAAATATTGAGAAGTTTCAAGTAATTTGGCAGGTCTGCTTGGGCTTTTTCAGAGACTGGCAGTCTGATTCTCTCTGTATCAACACTGTCAGTCCTTTAAGTCTTCTGTATCCACTTTCTCTCCTTTTTCCCATTTAACTTTTTCTTGGGGTTGTGAGTTAAGTGGGATGGGAGTAGGACTGGGTTTTGGTAGAAAGGAAAAGGGGGTTATTAACAATCACAGCAATTTGTTTATATTCAAAGCACACACACCAGACAAACACCCTAACAAGGGGAAGCAGTTCGGTATTTTAAAAATGTAGCAGGTGAATGTACTCTTCCCTTTTTCTTTTGAAGTACAGTGGTACCTCGGGTTAAGTACTTAATTCGTTCCGGAGATCCGTTCTTAAGCTGAAACTGTTCTTAACCTGAAGTACCACTTTAGCTAATGGGGCCTCCTGCTGCTGCTGCGCCACCGGAGCCCGATTTCTGTTCTCATCCTGAATCAAAGTTCTTACCCTGAAGCACTATTTCTGGGTTAGCGGAGTCTGTAACCTGAAGCGTATGTAACCCGAGGTACCACTGTATCCTCTTTCCTCCAATCCTCCCCCCCCCAAAAAAAAAGAAAAAGAAAACAAGGGACAAAGTCAACTTGGATCCATGTTCTCTTTGTGGACATCTTAGTGTAAACAGCACAGAAATAGCCAAATTTATATCCTGGTGGTTTGATACATATAGGCCAGCCTCTGTACTTCTACCACCAGATTGAAAGAAAGGGAGCAGCCCTGCCACCCAATCTATAGGCACGGCTCCCAGTGCTAAACCCTTTTGGTAGCATCTGTCAGGTCAGACTGGAGAAGCAGCTTGCAGTGGCATTATAAATCCCTCTTAAGACGACCATATAGAGTGGGAAAACTGACATGCAACAATCACAACCTCTGGGAAGCCTCAATCTTGCATACATTAAGGCCCCATTTACACCATACATTTTGAAAAGTATTGTACCATTTTTTATAGTCACGACTTCCCCTAAATAATCCTGTGAAGTGTAGTTTGATAACTACACCAAAGGATTCATGTGTTGCCTCCTGCCACTTTGCTTTCAAGTGGAGGACTTCTAAAGTACTTCTTCACCTAGTAGTTCAGCTATAGAATTTGCACTCACGAAAACTTTTGTTCAGACAAATAACTGGAGGATACAAGGCTATCAGTTGCCACTAATAGCCATGGTGGCTCCGTTCTTCCTCCTCTATTGGAGGCACTTAAGCTTCTGAATACCAGTTGCTAGAGAATCACAAGTGGGGAAAGCGCTGTAATGCGCAGAGGTCCTGCTTGTGGACTTCTCACAGGCATTAGGTTGGCCATTGTGAGAACAGGATGCTGGACTAGATGGGCCACTGGCATGATCCAATAGGGCTCTTCTTAGATGATGAGGTTCACATCAGAAAATATAAGCCGGGGTGGGCTGCCTGTGGCTCTCCGGATGTTGCTGACCACAGCTCTCACAGCCAGCGTGGCCAGTGTCGGGGATGATGGGAGCTGTAGTCCAAAGAACAGAGGGCCAGAGTTTCCTCATCCCTCTAATTAGATCTATCTATCTATCTCCTCATGCAGCTGTGTTGCATCTGCAGGTTTTTGGGTTTTTTTTGTAACCGTTCCTTTTGGCGGGAGGAGGTACATAGAGGCTTGGCTATTTGACCAAAGTTGTTAGATGGCCTGAAGTGCTCTTCCCCTTCTGCTGAAAATGGAAATAGCAGCGTTTCAGGAGTTGGATGGGGGGCTGGGCGGGGGAATGAGTGCCCTTGCAGCTTCCTCACTGCTGTTCATCAGATTCCCAATTACATTGCATAAAAGACCTTTGGAGAGCGAGGGAGAAAAGGCCTGGCTTCGGAGATGGAGGCCTGAAAGGCGCCTGTCGCTTTAACCACCTCTTTTGGCTGCTCCTTTATGCCCCTGTTGTTTATATTACACGGTTTATGTAGCCTATCAAATTAAGGCCAGTAAATCGCTTTGCTTTATGGCCTCGGTTTTTATTCTCTTGGATCTCTCCCCGAGAGTGGGAAGAAAGCAAAGGAAGCAACAAAAGAGGGGGTAAGGAGTGGCGGAAGGAACAAATGGAAGCTTGGCAGGGCAAAGGGATAATAGAATCATAGACCTGTAGAGTTTGAAGGGACAATGAGGATCATCTAGTCCAACTCCCTACAATACAGGAATCTTTTGCCGAATGTGGGGCTCAAACCCACGACCCTGAGATCTGTATTCTAGGGCTGTCTCCCAGCTGTCGCTCTTTTATAGAAGGGATTCACATGTCAGGAATGTAGGTATAGTGGATGAAAGGGCCTTGGCCCAACAAATCCACTTTAACAACAGCAGAGTTTTTGCAGTTAGAAAAGAGATGGGGAAACACAAAGAAAAGTGTGGGATGACAACAGAATGACAGGAAAACCTATAACCTCCCTTCAAACAAAGAAGAATGACTGTTTATTAGTTGTATAACCTCAGTGCAAATAAACCATTAGCGAAGAGGAAGCACTGTATAAACTCCACAAAAGCTTTGTGCAAGCAAATCAGGGTGAATGCTGAATAAACAGGTTATCTAGGAAGAGGAGGATTTCAGCTCAGTAGCTGAGCATCTGCTTTGCATGCAGAAGAGTCCCCTGCAGGAAAAAAAAACCCCAATAGGATCTCCAGGTATGGCTGGGGCAAGACCCCTGCCTAAAACCCTTGGATGCTGCTCCCAGTCAGCGTAGCCAATACT